CATGTGCGACTAAAAGATTTTGAATTTAATTCTTCTAGTAAGGCCTTTTTCGTGGGCCAACAACTTCCTCTTTGTCGGATCACTGAAGTCGACTTCTACAGCTGACATGCCACACAGCTGCACAATTAACTTCCCGAACTTCGAGGGCCATTATGTCACAGGCTAGCTTCTGCGAATTCTTGAGATCTTGCTTTGGCACGAAAAGTGCAAAAACGCATGGTCGCACCGGCCTGCCTGGTGCGTTCCAGCCTGGTTTCAATGAAGCCCAGTCGTTTTTATGCAAATCGCAAAAACGCATATTGCGACGACCCTGTCTATGTGTGTGTGTTTGTGTGCGTGTGCGTGTGTGTGTGCGTGCGTGTGTGTGTGTGTGTGTTCGTCTGTCTGGGTATTTCAACTTGGGAACCAAGCAAGTTCCAGCGCCAAGATTTTGCTAGTAGGTTCCCCGGCCAAGTGCCACCCCAGAACCGCGGTACCAACCCTCACGCGAGTCTGGGTCCCACGTACGAGATAGGGAAATTTCTGGCGGGAAAAACGATAACTCGAGAACGATAAAAGATAGGAAGCTGAAATTTCGAGGTTATGTTCCCCGTCCACATATAACCCAAAAATTTCAAATTCAGTCCCCAGGTGTACGTGGTTCCCGCGTACAGCCCCGTGAAATTTTTTGGCGGGAAAATGGCCAACTCGGGAACTAGGAAAGCTGGGAGGCTGAAATTTTCAGGGGGTTTTCTCAGCCCATGTATGACTTAAAGTTATCAAATTCGGCCCCCAGACATGCGCGATTCTCGTGTGCGGCACTTAAATTTTTGGTGGGAAAATTACTCATTGAACAGCTGAGTCACTTTCAAATAAAAATGACCGCTCAACGGAAATTGTTTATTTTCTTATATGTAAAATTTACGATGATTTACGGTATTGAGCGCACAAGGTAAGTGTGAAGAAACAACCATTCATGCAGTTAATCTAATTACTTCAAGTTTGGTTCAAAAACGTATGATTGCACCGGCTCGACTGGTGCGTTCCACTCTGGCTTCTGGTAAATGCTTGCTTTTCGAAAAAATATAAATTTCCAGTTCACTGAAAAGTGGAAGTGTTGCTAGAACGTTCGTTCGTCAAAAAATCTATGTAAATGAGTTCAGTTCACCCGGTCAAAGCTTCGGCAATTTCACGGGGTGATGCTGCCACCTCCGCGAGGTGGGGACCGGTAACTCCGTACTGCTGTGTTAAGGTCTCGGGTAGCGAGGCCTGTTGGCCGCCCTTAAAACATTAGGCATACACGAGTCGACTACTGTGCTCCGGATGATCCAGTTCCGCAGTAGTGAGAGTACGACATTTGTGGGCACTGCTGGCGACACGAACCAATTCTACATGTCCCGGTACAAAACATGCATAGGAGTACGGCTTGCCCGAAATACAGAAGAGCAATACACATGTAAGATATGCACTATCAAGGCGCAGCAGTACGAAGGCTAACGGCAGCAGACGTCCATTGGGTAAGTAGGGCACTACAGTCAGCCGTCCAGGCTATACCCAGTGTATCAGTCTTGGTTTCGTGGATGCAGGTGGAGCCCACGAGCAAAACCCTCCTTCTCTGGGTTAAGGCACCGAGGCGGATGGATGCAGTCGCAGGCAGGGGTTTGGTCTCCTTATCCGTCCTTTTGTCCAGTCCGTTCTAACATGAAATTAAATTTCAATTCTGTATTTACGGGTGCTCCTCGAACCCTTAACCTGAGGGGCTTACGCAACACAGCGATACTAATGCCCTCTCTATTAACCCTTCCCAATAGGCCCAGAGAGGAAGAGGGGGGTCGTTCGCTGCAAAATGCACTCGTTTCTGAGTTTGCGGTGAAGTCGAGTATTTCTCATAACCACCTGTAGGGGATTTCACCTCCGAAAAGACCACGCATGAAAGTAGAATAACCCTGCGAAGTTCCAGCCTTGCACCGTATCCGGTAAACGAAATATCCACTTCCCAATAAATATCTTTAAGTGCCCTAAGTCGTAGCGCAAGTGCAAATCGGAACTCATTCCAGGTATACGACCTCCCATATGGTGATAAATGTGCTGACAAAGTTTCAGCCACTGTTTTCTGGAACGTTTTCGAGTTAGCACAGTACCAAGTTGCAAACTTTGACGTGATCGTACGCGCTGCACAAGTGTGTGTGACAGCTGAAGTTGAAAACTTCAGCTCGCACATGCACAGAGAATATCCTTGCAAAGTTTCAGCTTTGTACTTTGCCTGGTTCGCGGAATCATTTCCCTCCAAAGAAGTTTGTATATTTTTTTGATGTTCGTACGCGGGATTTAGGCATGTATGAGCGAAAATTTTAAAACGGGAGAGTGACGCACGGAGTAGGAACATAAATCCAAAATTTCAGCCTCCCAGCTTTCCCGGTTGCTGAGATGAAAGTGGGTGACAAAGTTCACTTGCTTCCGAACACAAGCACACACAGACTACCTCTCGGCAATATGCGTTTTTGCTCGCTGTCGCAACGCTGCACAGCAAAAATGCACAAAAAATAGGTAGCTTAATCAAAACTGAGACCAGATCTGTATTTCTACTTAATTTAAAGTCCTGTGGCTTATTTTAGTACCGCAGAGATGAATTAATCCCTTTGCATACAAAAGTCTAGTTGATTTTAATATTCTCTCTGCAGGAGAAAGAACACTATTGTTTTCTGATTTCTTCTGAAGGCTCCTCTTGTTTCAAATAAATAGCAATTGTTTCTATAAAAACTTCTAGAACATTGTCATTAATTACTACAACCATAGAAAGGAAAATATAAAACAGATTAGCGGGTTACATTTCGATCAAAAGATCTTTCTCCAATTAGGCGCTTCTGCGAAGATTACCAGGGACCAGTCAGATGGCTGGTGTGAGGATCATATGGCAGTGATTTAAGAATTTTTCAAAAAAATACTGGCAAAAGTTCATAAGTTTAGAAACCCTGCATTTTGCCATATAAAGTGCAAAAAAGAACTTTTCTGGGAGCTACAGCAAACGTAGGCAGATCAACTGGTATAGCTCGCGGACGATAAACAAGCAGCCGATGTTCTCGATCTTTATTTCGTAAAACAGTAATTACACGGAACTGATAGTCTCGGCATGCATCCAAAATTGTGAACGTTACGTCTGGCACCGAGTTTACACCCTGCAACATGCCTCTTACTATCACAAGCATTTTTTGGCTCTTAAATTACAAAATTTGTGCGAACATGAACCTATGGTAAAAGCTGTGGGCAGATGACAAACTGAAAGTACCGACAGGGAATGTAGTCCTGAAACTTCAATTCTGCAAGCTTTGTTTTTGGCATTATAGCTTAGGAATTCTACTTAGGGTCAAAAGTCAAAAAGAGACTGGCTTGTATGTTGATTCCAGATTTGAAGCCTCGTAACATAGTTACGTGCTTTTTTTATAAAATTATAACTTTCTGGTTTGCCTAGTTTCTCGTTCGAAACATTTGGTCAGACAGGCAGAGAGAAAGACAAGATTTTGTCTTGACGCGTTTTCGCACCAGTGGTACAGCGCAAAAACATAAGAGGAATGTTCTCCTTTCTGCTTAGTTTTTAGCTGCCAACGCAGTTTTTAAAATTTCATTAAAAACATGGAAGTAAAATTCAACAAAATTTGGTTTCTCCAAAAACCCTTTTGACCTCAGATTAAAAAATAGGTAAACTTCGTTCGGTGTTGCTATGTGCTTCACTACGAGTGAGTAATGAATCCTGGCAGCTTGTCAAGCAATAGAATATCGCAGCTTAAACTGTAAAACCGAAGTAGTTTTTTGCGCCCAACCCCACGCCCCCTTCCCCCTCCTTCACCCCCCCTCCCCCCTCTACCCCACTCTCCTCATTCACTGTCCATCTCTTTCCCCTCGAATTCTTCCGCTACTCTCTAACATTCTCGCCCCGGTTTCGCTCAACTAGCTGTTAGATATTGCAGGGGCTTATTTTGAATCATGAAAGTGTGGTAAGTTGAAAAGCTCAGGCAATCAGCACACAGGCGAACCCATATATTTTTTGCATTTGTATGGATGAAAAGAATCTACGAAAGTCACTGGGGGG